GTTGAGATAAAAATGTTAAAATTCTCTACATTCTGCCCACATGCTTTGCAAAGGTTCATTGGTTGTTCATGGACAATGATGGGCGCCCCTATTTGTTTAGCTTGGAGAGTCATATTATCATGCCCATTTATGACATGTAAGGACTAAACCAGAAAGAGAAGAAAAAATTCCTTAACAGCATATTCTCATTAGTAAGGACACTATAACCAGGAACTCAAACAGAAAGAGGAGAAAAAGATAACTTAACAGCATGTTCTGATTAAGAACACCCCTAATTCAGGGCTGGATATGCTCCACCAATGAATAACCAAGTAATTTGAAGTATAACATAGCTAAATAAATAAAATTTAAATGACCTGTGCTCGTAATATTCTTCCAGCATCTTTCTTGACATGCCGTACATCTTCGTATGAAATATCCCTTGAGGTGTCACACAAGGGACTTCCGATGCCTCTCTGGAAGTTGGGGCTCTGTGCGACTGACCTGAATGGATCACCACCACTAGACACAGAGTAATCTGAAGCTCTGGGATTAGATCCTTCATTACCAAACCTATCATCATACATATTATCACTTAAACGACTAGGACTCAAGAAACTCGACACCTTTCCTTCATAAAGTCCCCGGTCTGATCCTGGCTTTCTAGTGAGTGCTGGTGCATTTTTCCCATAACGTCGTTCTTCATACTGAAAGTCATATGGTGGACTTTGAGAATAGGAATGATAAGAACTTGCTCTCCTCATATCATCGTCGTGGTTTCTCAAATTCTGACAACTCAATGGATATTGAACACATTAGTCTGGACCCAGTGCTGATTTGAATATTATGACTAAATCATAGCTAGAAGTTTCAAGTAACGTTCTAGTCTAAAGTACTGCATAGACAAAATATTACTCCAGATATAGTACCTGGATATCTCTAGGAGGTCTATCAGAGGACTGCGCCCCAGCATATTTTTTATCAACATAGACGGTCTTTATAAATTCCCTCACTTTATCAACATTGCTGATGAAAAAAGAAAGTTAGGATTTTGTATCTTGAAGTTGTCAATTTACCAGGAACTTATAATCTACTAATAGTAACTTGCTAATCCAGTACCTGTTATTAGGAAGCCACTGACTTTGAGGGTCCCAACTTTTTAAATATATCTCTCTGGCCCGCTGAAAAAATAAATACAGGACAGAGAATTTTAACTTCAAAGTGAAGAAAAACCAGCAATTATTTTACCTGTTTTTTAATAGGTAAAGAGTACAATATTTTCACCTGATTACCACCCTGTTGAAGAGCTTCCACTTCTTGGGAAGTAAACTTAGACATGGAAACTGACTTCACACGGTGAGTAAACTCACGACTGCAATGATACGATGAAACATTTTAACTTCCACATCCTGATGTACAGGACTTCAAGTTTACGAACATAGTAGAAAAAACATCACAAACAGATACAAGAGGAACTTAAAATTTTACTTTACCGCTGTTTTTATTCGGACAATGCTTAGGCAACAAATTTAGATGAACATCACTAACCTGTTGCACCCTCACCTGATAGTTAAAAAATTAACACAAGGATGGACCTTTTCCTTTTTATGAAATAATAAGAAAAAGGATGGACATCTTCTTATCACAAAAAGCCAAACTAATTTTTCAGAACATTAGTCCAATAGATTTCGGACAGATTGAATCCAGTAGTAGCTAAAATTAACTACTTAGCTGCATGCATATCAGGTAAAATTTTGGCATATGCATTCCGCTGTAGTTAGAACATAGAAGTGCCAATGCATTTTACAATCCTGAAAAGAAGAAACCCTCTTGAATACCCCCAGCAGCTTTACCTACTTTATTTCTGGACTAACAACTTATGCGACTAAAGATGTAAAGAGCATGCAATATGATACACTTACTGTATTCCGCTGCATGTCATGCAGACAAAGGTCCAAAAGTTTGTGCACACATACTGGGGACCCTGCACATCGTAATAAATGCAATGATTGATTGATTCAAAATGAAAACGAGCTAAATTTATTGACTAAAATAGTGAACAGAGGATAAACAGATTGGTGACATTAGCTTTTCTACTATTCATATCAAGGAACTACTCCTCCAATCCTTTTCCCCGGTAACCATAGCTAATAAATTTGTTCCAAATTTTTGTCACTTCAGAATACCAAGGCAGCATTATTTATCCTCAATTTCACTCTTACTACTTCACGAAGGCATATAGTCATTGATTACCCATTTAAGAAAAAGATAAAGAGTCAAATACCCCTTATAACTAATATGAAGCAAACAATATGAGAATAATTCTAAGAGGTAAAACAGCACTGATGCATATGTACATTCTACTGGGAAATTGGCAAGAGTGCAATCTATATCAATCATACAACCCATCCCGAAATTAGTTTGGGTTTGACTTGATTACATGAACCTCGTATACATTATACTTAATTCTGGTTCATTTCATTTCAATACATAAAAAAATCATCTTTTACTACAAATTTAATGGTCCAAGAAACTTAAGGTCCTCTTTTTGATAAAGAACTTAAGGTCCTTTAATTCAACACTAGTATCTACCCTATTCACGTCCAGTTCATTCTGGTATTAAAAGTTCTCCTTTAAAGACAAAGTAGAGGTTCTCTTAATGTCAAACTTAACCTACCGTATTCACCTCTATTTCATTCATTACTTAAATCTCATCTTTTAACACAAAGTAGGGGTTCTCTCAAATACCTCTCCTCTACCTACCTTACTCATCCCCTTTTCATTCCAATACAAAAGCTTGCATTTTTACCTTATTCATATCCATCTCATTCTAACAATTATATTTTCAAACAAATTAGAACTTCTTTAAATACAATTCTCTAACAACAACAGAATGATGAACTATTAAACAAAAAAAAAGTCAAGTTGAAAATTGTAAAAAAAAGATTGAGAAATGAATAGAATAAGAGACCAAGCTATTGCAGTTGATGCATTTGCGATTGGGAGGGAGCTTGAGAAGCCCTCTTATTATCTTCTCGTTCCTCTCTTCTTCTCTCCTGCTACTCATGCTTGTAGGTTTATTTCCCCCAATTGAAAAATTGAATTTCCCCAAACAACTTTGGGGGAAATTGATTGAAAAAAACTAGGGTTTTAAGTAATGGATTTTGAATTTTGTCCAAGGAGGAATGAAGAGAGAGGCATGAAGCAGCTCTCTCTCTCTCTCCACCTTCAGATTTCAACTTGAGGTTCTTTTTTTTCAATACTGCTGTGATGTGGTGTGGTCTATATTCAAATTGCTAATCATTTGTTTTTAAAAAGTTTTTGTCATCATATGTTGTTAAAAAAAAAAAAAAACATAAATAATACATTAAATTTTTAATCTGATAATCTGACATACAAAAAGATAATTTTCTCTATTTCAAAAAGTCTAGTTTAATTTGAAACGTAATTCAAGAAAAAATTTCTTATAATCTTATATTAAAGTTACGTAAAATATATCAGAATGTTATTTAATATTATAGTCTTGAACATGTCATGTTGAAAGTACAAATTCTAGGTTTTATCAAAAAAATGAAAGTAGTCATTTTTTTAAACATACTAAAAAGAAAATGGAATCATTCTTTTTTTAACAAAGAAAATATTAATATAATAAATTACATAATAGATAAAAATATTTATATATTTTATTTGTTAAAATGAAAGAAGTAATTAGAAATAATTATATAAAAGATCTTGTGGCAACTTGAATGGATGGAATAATAATGTGCAACTTTCACATATAACTTATAAAAAATTTCATATTTGTATGTTATAGCAAAGTTTGCATAATTGCGCTCCATAGCAAATATATAAATTGTATAATTCGTTAAGCATATACAGTTGAAGCAAACTGTATAAAACGAAGTGTATAAAACAAGAAAGAGAAAGACACTTGGGCAGAACACTATATAAAAACGAAGTGTATGAAATGAATTATATTATTATAAGGGTATAGAACAATTATATACAATTTGAATTTATATAAAATGAGAAAGAGAGAAAGACAAAAGAGACTTGACAAGGAATATAAATTGAATCGAATTGTATAAAACCAGAAAGAGAGAAATTAGATACAATTTGAAAATCGTATAAAATAAGAAAGAGAGAAAGGCAAAAGAAACTGGACATGGGAGTATTTTTATTGTATAATTATAAGTGTATAGGACGAAAATATATGTACTTGCATGTGTATATACAATTTTCTCACGCTTTATACAAAGAGAAACACAATTATACATTTCGCTTCTGTTTGTATAAGTGAGAAAGGCGAGGGTGGCGAGCGAGATCTGGAAGAGGGGAGAGAGGGGAACAAAAATATATGTATTTATACAATTTTCTCTGCTTTATACAATTAGAAACAATTTTTATACACTTGTGTTTGTATAAAAAGTGAGGAAGCGAGCGAGAGATAGGAGAAGAGTGGCGAGCGAAATATTTAGGAGAGAGGCGCCTGACAATTTTTTGCAAAATGTTTGCTATGATGCACAATTAAATCAAACCCTAGCTACTCCATTTATTTTAGGTTATTAGTTTGTTATTATATACAATTTTCCCTAAAAAATTTAACAGGTGATGAAAAGTTGATCTGGGGCAGCGTACATTCTGTATATATCCCAATATACATGAAAACAATTGTATACAAGTCGTATACATCAAATGTATACCAGTTTTTTCAAGGGAAATGGGCCGAATCCCCATTCAAATGATGCAGGATTTTGTGAGAAAATGGGCCAAAGCCCAATACGACAAAGCAGAAATTGGTGGAGAGCAAGTGGGCCAAAGGCCAATTTGATTTAGGGAAAAGAAGCATATGGTGAGAGGAGTAACATGTGTGTTGTGTCTGATAGAAATGAGAGCATTATAAAGGCTGTTACAAATGTATACAGTAATGTCCCACACTATGCTTGTATGTGGCATTTATGGAATAACGTTTAAAAAAGTTTAGAAAATCTCATGAGAAGTTATCTGGTGTATTCTATACAATGGCAAAAGCTTGCACAAAGAATGAATTTGATATGTTAATAGATACTGTAGAAAAAGAAGATATAAGAGTGAAAGAGTATTTGGATTTAGCTGAATATGAAAAATGGGCTCTTTGTTACGCACAAGTACATAGAGGATGGCACATGACATCAAATATTGTTGAGAGTATAAATGCAGCACTTGTTTCAGCTAGTGAATTGCCTATTTTTGAATTTCTCGAAGAAGTAAGGCTATTATTTCGAAGGTGGAATCATGACTACAAGAAGGAGGCAACCTGCACATTCACATCATTGATTGGAAAATACCATGACATACTAACAGACAATGAAGCATTGAGCACAAGAATGACGGTAATATTTAAGAATAAGTATATATTTAGCAGTGTTGACCAAATTTAATTGTATATATTAGTATTAACATCATTTCATTTAATTGTATTTATAAATGAGCAGGTTGTACCATCAACAGAATATGTGCACAATGTTAATGATGATGGAAGATATTTTGTAGTCTGTCTAAAAGAAAAAACTTGCACCGATGGAAGATTTCAGTACGAGGAAATACCTTGTGAACATGTTTGGGCAGTATTGAAATGGAAGAGTCTACCACCAGATGAATATTGCTCGGATTTATACAAACCAAAGACAATGTTGAAGACATATAATATGCCTATACATCCTTTACCGGACGTAAAGGCATGGTTGATTCCGGATAGAGTTATTGTTGATGACGTATTACCTCCAAATTTTAAAAGACCTCCTGGCTGGCCAAAGGGTAAGCCTCGGAAAAAAAAGCAAGAGAGTTATCGAGGATTAAGGGGGAAAATACATGTAGCACATGTGGAATGGCAGGTCACAATAGGCGCTCGTGTAGAAATAAGCCAAAAGATGTTTAAGGCTGATTGTTTTTACCTAATTAAATTTGATTTGAAACTATATGCATTATGACTTAATTGAAATCTTTGTTTTTGTATACTTATATTACTTAAACTACGTCTTAATTTTATTATGTGTTGTACATTAATGTGTGTGTTGTATGACCTACAAAAGTAAATATTATACTCAATATGCGTAAATTAAATTTGTATATATATACGCAACATGATAAAATGTTCAACACTAAACAAGTAGATCGTATAAAAATAAAACTCTTTTATCCTTTATACAAATAAAACTTGAACTACATATATTGAATATGCATAGATAATTAATAAAAACAATGAATAAGTGCTTGTATATACTATATACAAATAAAAACCTGAACAACATATATCTTTTGCAATTTGTACATGTATATATTTATTCAATAAAATTGAATTTGTATATATATAGCAATCTAATTGTATGTGCATATACAGTTAATAAAATACATTGAATACATGCTATTATATACTATATACAAATAAAAACCTGAACAACATATATGTATGTATTTATTTATGTGCATATACAGTTAATAAGATTGTATATGTATATATATTGCAATCTAATTGTATGTGCATATACAGTTAATAAAATACATTAAATACGTGCTAGTATATATTATATACAAATAAAAACCTGAACACTAATATAGAATATATACCTTATACAATGAAATGAGTGTGACTATAAAATATATACAAATAAGAACCTGAACAACGTATATCTTTTGTTATACAAATTCATAAATGTAAGACACTTTATTTTAAAAGTAGTTTTTATACAATTAAATTGTATATGTATATATTTATTTATATGCTACGTTGTAATATATTTTTATAACACTAAAATGATAGTTCAAAACAAAGAAAATGATATTACGAGTTAATTAAAACAAAAGTTATCGTAAAATTGTTAATCTACAACTAATATTTAAACTGTCAACGTAAAAACCAAAACAATGCTACAGCTAAGGTATAAAACTACTGGATTGTAATCCTTTCAGAACTGTTGTTTTTTGTGCGGTTCCTGACGGGTTTTAAAGGCGCTTCACTATCACTGACAGCTCCGGCTTGTATCTTTTGATTGCCGTAATTCCACAACAATGCACCGTATCTAAGGCGAATTTCTTCTGGGTCTAAATCTGCTGGAATGTCTTTCCTCTCACTCAAAAACTCCGCGTATGACGCAACATACACTCCACAATCCCTAAAAAAATTATACGAAAAAAAAGTTCAAATGTTATTATACTACTTAAAGTGTATGTTCAATAAAATAGAAATTTATTGAATTTTTGAACTTACAAACTAGCAGCTGGCTGTTGGGGAAGGTCTTCCACATATACAATTTCGAAGGAATCATATACGGTATGACCTTGATATCGATGGTGGCTTGCAATATCCAAACCTTTCTTTAGATAGAAATCAGACTTTACAAGATACATTGGTATAAGTTGTGCATACTTCTTGATGTGATTGACAACAAATGAGTGGTGAAGAGAATTGTTGATTGAGTCATACACCTTGATGCATCGATCATTGAAAGATATGACAATCAGAATCCAATGTAACCTGCATTCTAAGTGAACCGGGATGAATACATCATCGACTGTGTGCCATGGTGCATACGCTAACATCTTGTATCCATTAATATAATCAATTATCATCTCGTCCAACACTTCCTTAGAAAGGTCACCTTTTATTCCATAACATGCATTCCAAGCATTTAGAAAAACAGAGTTGAAATTGCAACATAGATTTGTGAATTTGTATAGGCTACTGTTGGAGTATTTGGCCTTTTTCCTTATATAGTAGAATAAGACATCTATGTGCTGTGATATAATGAGTAATAATATTATAATTTATACATTATACAATTTCATTTAACTTAAACATTTTTAATAATATAAAAACAGAAACATATCGAGTTATCAATCAACTGGCGCTCAAAATCGATATTGTAGAATCAATTCTTGTTGTCAATTGTCGCTACACCAAAATTAAAAAATTGTGGTAATGTTGCCTTTCCTTTCTTGTAGCGATTCTCCGCATAGTTCCTATTATAAATAATACAAAATAATTACACAAAACAAATAATTAAAAATACAAGTGTATACAAAAAAAAAATATGTTACTTTTTGTAATGCTTGAAGAGAAAGTCTTCTTTAAGTCATATCCAAAAATTTGAAAACAAATTAGACTCTTCCTTATCAGACAATGAAACAAAAGGATGTTTCATGTAAAACACAACTGGTTGTCGGGACGAACTACCTGAAAAGATATGTATATAAATATTTACATCATGCAAACAATATGCTTATTTATGAAAATGTAAACATAAATAATTGTTTCTTACCAGCATCCGACCCAAACGAAGTCATGTACGGAGATATGTTGAATGGACCTGGGCATCTATGCCTAACAGCTGACATTGGTGTTACTTCAACTTGTTTTTGTAATGCAATGTTTTGCAGTGTCTTCACGCTTGGAAGAAGATGGTCTGGTAATTCATCCTGTGATTCAGTTACAACTGTTTCCTGGTTTGAGTCAGGCATGTATACCATTTGTATAGGCGCTGCAACTATAATAGACTCCTCTGCTTCTGCAATACGCTCATGAGATGCAGCATTGTATATGTTATATATTACCCGACTGTTTGAGCTACTTTCAGTTTTCCTTTGGGCATTTTTGCTGGACATCCACATTAGCATACAACACTAATTGATCTTGTGAGGCAGTGCCACTTACATCATTCAAATTATCAGCCAAAACAACTTGATCCAACAGTTGGGAATTCCAGTTTAGTTCTTGCAAGTTATCTCCCAGCTTAAACATAAAATAATAACTTAAATATCTAAAAAATTGATTATAAACCATTATAATAAATTTTAAAATGTATGAATCATTTACGGATACCTCATGATCTTTTAATGCACTTGGATGACCTATCGGTTTTTTTTGTGCACCTAACTGTGAAGACTTGGTATTTGACTGGTGAACACGAGTGATATGCGTTTCTTGCATGACATCTTCAAATGTAGCCTGAAAATAATGTAAACAATATAAGAAAATATGTTATAGTATATTTTGTATAAAAATAAATAATATGCTGATTTATAATAATTTGAGCTATACTAGTATATAGTTCTTAATTATTTAATTTCAATATTTGTATAAACTGGATTAATGTGTATAAACTGAATTTACTTATATACAATTTATTTCATTTCAATATGTTTATAAACTGAATTAATGTATAAATATTGCAAAATAATACCTCTTGTTCTGTCAAATTTGCAGATTGACTTTGGGGTTCATGTGGAGTGTATGTGGGCTGGTGATGAACATCTCCGATGGGTGATTCTTGATCATCATCGACGACATTAACCTGAAAAATAATTATAGAACTGTATTTATTAGTATATATTATATTGTATATAAAAAATTAAAAGAAAAAATTTATACATGTGATACCTTGGAATTCATGGCTTCCAACACTGTTTTGAATTTGTCTTCAAGCATTTTTCTCAAATCAGCGAACTCGTCCTTGACCTATGTGAAAAAGGTGCATATTTTATTAATAATTGTATATAATCTTTTCAAATAACATATATTTGAATTGTATATTTAATTACCGATTTTTTGAATGCTTCAAATTCATCAAGCGAAATTGTAATGTTTGTTGAATTCTTCATTTGCCCCATTTGTGTTCTGTCTTGAACACTTTTCTGCTCTCCATGTTTATTGTTGTTTGACGTACCTGCATCACTGTGTTTCTCAACACTATTGATGTTGATGGACTGTGATCGTGTTGCTTTGTGCGCCATTGATCTTCGTGTGTATGTCTTAATTGCCTTTGTTGAAGATTTATTGATGGAGATGACTGTAATAGATTGCTTTTTCTTTTTCCTAATCGGTGAAGAACATTCAATAACTTTTTTTTTCTTTTTCTACTTGTTATACTGGGCGGGTTTTGGAAATCATCATCCGGATCTGTAACTTTATTGTGATCAGTCTGCAAGCCTGAGAAATGGATTGTTCTGTCGATGGTGGAAGTTGGAGGATTTTAATTTCCATCGCTGTTGGCTCAATATTTGTAAACTTAATCTGCATAATCATGAAAAATTATAAGTCAATATAATAAAAATGTAATATACAAATTGTAGTAAGTAAATGTATACTACAAATTATATTAAGTAAATGCATACCGGATTATCTACATCATTAAAAATTGTTTTCATGAAATAATCAAATCGAGGATGGTCGTTCTTAGTCACCCAATTGATAATTCGAGGAATGTGACTGGAAACCTTGACAGCAATCTTGTCATCAACATACGAGCAACATTCATAGAACCAAACTTGCATTGGAAGTGGAAAGCCCTGAATTCTGTAGTACTGTCCACATGGCTTTAACTTGTTGTTTATGGATTTAGCAAGTTCATTAAAATTCTTCCGACCCCACGGATAATCCATAAATCTACCTGTTTCAACCAGATCAAAGTCCAACCTATCGATTGTTGTTGTAGTAGGTTCTGCGGACATGATAAACTTATGTATATAATATAGAATCCCAAACTTGTATGCATATTCCTGATTGTCACCCCATACCTTTGCTTTAAAAGCTTTAGACAAACGAGCTTTAGTGACTGGAGAATTTCCTGGAAAATACTCATCGATGATTCTATTGGGTTGATCAGTATCAAAGTAGAAGTCAACACCATTATCAGAACAATTCAAACCAGAAATAATGGCAAATTTCCGTATTGTGAATCGAAGCGTTGTGCCATTTATATAAAAAAGTATTGCATTCACAGAACTACCTTCCAACTCCCTCAACATAATGCATCTAAACAATTGTGCTTGCACGTGACATGTCTCATTGCTGTTAACTGTGCAAAACACGATGATGCACATATACGATTATATTGATTTGGAGGCAGTTTATTATGAAGCTCATTCAATGTGTTGATTTGCGTATAACATTGCATGTGAATTGTCCTTTTTTCACGGTTCTTGCAAATATATC